GAGTGAAGGAAAAACCAACTGCTTGTGCAGGCTCAGTGCTGGTGAGGAGCTGGAAACTTGCCAACTTGGCTGGTGGAAGGGGAAATCACCACAGCTGTCTTGGAAAACTCTTTGGTGATATCTACTAAAGACAAATACATAGCTGAGTGTGGTGGCTCACACCTGTCATCCTGTTGACTCAGGAATTGGAGATCAGGAGAATTGAGATTCCGGGATAGCCTGGGCAAACAATTCTTTTTTTTTTTTTTGGTCCAGTCGTGGGGTCTGAACTCTGGGTTTGGGCGCTGTCCCTCAGCTCTTCAGCTCAAGGCTAACGCTCTACCTCTTGAGCCACAGCACTACTTCCGGCTTTTTTCTTTTTGCTTATGTGGTGCTGAGGAATCGAACCCAGGACCTCAGGCATGCAAGACAAGTGCTCTACTACTGAGCCACCTTCCCAACCCATGGGCAAAACAATTCTTGAGACTTCATTTCAACCAATGAAAAGCTGGGTTTGGAGCTCAGTCAGTTATGGTGGGAAGCCTAAAATAGGCAGATGGTGGTCTAGATGCAAATATTGGCTGAAAGCAAGACCCCATCTCAAAAACTAACCAGTACAAGCTGGGTGCTAGTGGCTCAGGCCTATAATCCCAGTTACTCAGGAGGAGTAGGATCTAAAGATAAAGGTTTGAAGCCAGCCCAGACAGGAAAGTTGGTGAGACTCTTATCTCCAATTAACCACTAAAAAGCCAGAAGTGGAGTTGTGGCTCAAGTGGCAGAGCACCAGCCTTGACTGAAAAAGCTAAGGGACAATACCCAGGCTCTGAGTTCAAGTCCTAAAGCCAGCACACAGGTGCATACGCATGTGTACATAGACAAGCATACACATACACACACACACACACATACACACACACACACACACACACACACACACACACTGCATACGTGTAACTCAATAGCATTGGTTTCTTTTGTATTTATGTACTTATTTATTTATTTATGTTGTGTGTGTGTGTGTGTGTGTGTGTGTGTGTGTATGCTGGTCCTGGGGCTTGAACTCAGGGTCTGGGCACTGTCCCTGAGTTTTATGCACTGTACCACTTTGAGTTACACCACCATTTCCAGCTTTTTAGTGGTTAATTGGAGATAAGAGCCTCACAGGCGGCTGGGAAGGTGGCTCAGTGGTAGAGCACTTGCCTTGCATGCTTGAGGCCCTGGGTTCGATTCCTCAGCACCACATAAGCAAAAAGAAAAAAGCCAGAAGTGGCGCTGTGGCTCAAGTGGTAGAGCGCTAGCCTTGAGCTGAAGAGCTGAGGGACAGTGCCCAGGCCCAGAGTTCAGGCCCCACGACCGGACCCAAAAAAAGAAAAAAAAGAGCCTCACAGACTTATCTGTTTGGGCTGGCTTTGAACTATGATCCTCAGCTCTCAGCCTTCTGAGTGGCTAGTAGGACAGGCATGAGCCACTGGCACCTGGCTATGTATATTTATTTTATTTTATTTTTTATTTTTTTATTTGTTTTTGGGGGTCCAGTCATGGGGCCTGAACTCTGGGCCTAGGCACTGTCCCTCAGCTCTTCAGCTCAAGGCTAGCGCTCTACCACTTGAGCCACAGCGCCACTTCTGGCTTTTTTCTTTTTTCTTATGTGGTGCTGAGGAATCGAACCCAGGGCCTCATGCATGCAAGGCAAGCGCTCTAACACTGAGCCACCTTCCCAACTCCTGTATATTTATTTTATGTGTGCAAAAACAGAATCTAGGGAAGCTCTTCCCCCAACCTGCCAATGGCTCAGAACCCTCTGGAACCCCAGAACTTGACTGCTGCTTTTCTCTGGGTGTGTGGGTGGGAAGGGGGGAGGTTAGTTGATTGTTTTTTTCTGTTGGCTTGGGGCTTGAACTGAGTACCTGAAAGCTATCCCTGAGCTCTTTTGCTCCAAACTAGCACTCTACCACGTTGAACCACAACTCCACTTCCAGTTTTCCAGTGGTTCATTGGAGATAAAAGTCTGCCTGGGCTGGCTTCAAACCATTATCCTCAGATCTCAGCCTCCTGAGTAGCTAGGACAACAAACATGAGCACCAGTGCCTGGCTTGTTGTGTGTGTGTGTGTGTGTGTGTGTGTGTGTGTGTGTGTGTGTGTGTGTGTGTGTGTGTGTGTTGTGGGGTTTGAACTCTGGGCCTAGGTGCTGTCCCTCAGCTCTTCAGCTCAAGGTGAGCACTCTACCACTTGAGCCACGGCACCACTTCCAGTTTTCTGGTGGTCTACTGGAGATAAGTCTCACGGCCTTGCCTGCCTGGGCTGGCTTTGAACTGTGATCCTAAGATCTCAGCCTCCTGAGTGGCTAGGATTACAGGCATAAGCCACCAGTGCCCGGCTCTGTGTGTGTGTGTGTGTGTGGCTAGGATTATAGGCATAAGCCACCAGTGCCTGGCTCTATGTGTGTGTGTGTGTGTGTGTGTGAGATTCGTAGGGCCTGAACTCTGGGCCTAGGCACTGTCCCTCAGCTCCTCAGCTCAAGGCTAGCACTCTACCACTTGAGCCATAGTGCCACTTCTGGCTTTTTCTGCTTATGTGGGGCTGAGGAATCGAACCCAGGGCCTCATGCATGCAAGCAAGCACTCTACCACTGAGCCACCTTCCCAGCTCTGTGTGTGTGTGTGTGTGTGTGTGTGTGTTTGTGTGTGTGTTTTAAGGGAGATTTCTTCACATACACAAAGCCTCAAACTCAAGATCCTCTTCCCTCAGCCTTCCTGAGTTCTGAGATTACAGAAGTGTACTACTATACATTGCTATTTTTTGTTTTTGTGTTTTGCTTTAAATAGAGACCCTGGAAGATGGGGGGGGGGGGAATCCAAACCTGACAAAAACTTCATTTTAGTCCCTCCCACTCCAAGTGAGGTTGGGATGGATGGGGAGGAGGTCTCTGAAATTAGTGTCTTCAACAAGCAGAATCCCATACTCTGAACTTACAAAGGCGCATCAGGGAAACTTGATGCTCAGAGTGTCCCATAACATGTGTGTGTGTGTGTGTGTGTGTGTGAGAGAGAGAGAGAGAGAGAGAGAGAGGAGCTACCTCCACTTAAAAATAGCTCATCGAGATTTGGCAACCATTTCCCCCATTTGCTCCTTCATTAGAACCCCCACCCCAGGCCTAGGCAGAGTTCTGAACTAACGATCAAAAAAAATCCCAGCAGAGTTAGGTGCTGGTGTGCATCCTCAGGGGGCTGAGATCTGAGGATTGCCGTTCAAAGCCAGCCCAGGCAGGAAAGTCTGTGAGACTCTTATCTCCAACGAGCCACAAAGAAAAAAAAAAAAGCCAGAAGTGGAGCTGTGGCTAGAACACTAGCCTTGATAACAAAAGTTCAGAGACAGCACCCAGGCTCTGAGTTCAAGCCCCAGAAGTGGCACCCCTCCAAAAAAAAAATAAAACTAAAAAATATCCCAGCAGATCAGTACCTGGTCTTGTTCCAGGAGAGGCTTGTCCTCCATTACAAAATATCATTCCTCAACTGCTTGTCTCATTGTCCTGGAAGCCCATGGGGTATGAACTATCATCGCCTCCTTTTTTTTTGGTTTGTTTTTAAACAGGTGAGAAAACAGAAGTGGAAAGAAATTGAGAACCTGCCTAGGGCACTGATTCCAAAGCCTCTTTGTCTGGGGAAGTTTGTTTGAAAGATGCCGGGTGGGGGGAACTCAGCTGGGGAGAGTTTGTTGGTTGGAAGGAATGAGGGAAGATGCTAAGGCTGGGACTTCCCCTCCCAGCTGCACACCTGGGTACCTGGGATGAGGGTGTCGGTGGCCTTGAGGGGGCCTCTCCCACTGGGAGTGGGGAATAAACATGGCCTTACCTGTTCTGGCGTTCATCTGTGGTCCAGCTCAGAGACGGTGACAGCGAGAGCCTCTCATGCCTTTCTGGGTCCCCCAGTCCTTGTGCCCCACCCTGGGGGAGGCAGGTGGTGGGCGTAGGGTGACAGGGACCGGATTGACCTGTGGGACCCGGGGCCCAAGCTATCGGGGAACCTGTCACCCCAAAGAAGCCTGCTTTTCCGGGGTTGGGACAGCCTGTGGGCGGAGGGAGCCTTGGGTTCTTCCAACGCATAAATACTGAGGTGACATTGGTGGCACAAACCAGCGTGTATGTGTGTGTGTGTATGTGTGTGTGAACAGGGTGAGTCCAGGTCCCAGGGGTTCTCCTGGCCACAGCTCCTGGATTTTGGGGAGCTAGGAAGGAAGTGGGGGGGATGGTTCCAGCCTGGAACCATCCAGTGAAACTCTCAGGGGAGAGGGGGATAAGCCTGCATCCCCCGAAGAAGAGGGAGGGATAGGGAGAAATAGGGGTGCCCATGCAGGTGCAGAATGGGGTGCCAGGGAGGGCGGAGGTAGGCCAGGATTAGAGTGACTTCAGGCAGGTTGCAATTCTGAGATCTGGGAGTACAATGTGAGGTGATGGTGATCCAGACCTAATGAGGGGTGCTGGGGATCATCCCCCAGGGCATGACCAATGTCATGTGGGGAAGCAAAGAATGTGGGGAAGCAAACAGCAAGAGACTGAGGCTGGAAAGCTGAGGGCGGAGGTTTCCCAAGAGAACCACCTCCATCCCCCCCTCCCCTGCCTCAGCCCTCTATCTTCCCAAATGTCTTTGGTAGGAAGTAAGCCAGGCTGCCATGATGGGATGGGAAGTTCGAATCCCAGCCCAATCACAGGCTAGCTGTACCCCTAAGCCACCTGGTGACACAGTTTCTCACCCATGACTGATGCTGATGCCAGTCATCGGGCCCCGCCTCCTCCTAGGAATGTGGAGAGACTCCTGCAGTTAATGTATGCGAGGCACAGGGCAGGCCGCAGCCTCCAGCTGGCTGTCCATCTTGACTCGCTTCTCTTAGCCCTCCAGACCATCCTGCTCGCCCCCCCCCCCCCCACCCAGCCGGACAGACCACCCGACAGCCTGACAGATCCTGGACTCCCATCCTTCTTCACCTTCCTTGCTGGTCTCTGAAAGTCCCCTGACCTGGCAGCCATGTGCCCACGTTTTGGCCGCTGGGTCTGTTGCTGTCTGCTTCTCCTTGCAACCAGGAAAGTCCAAGGGACCCCAGGAGACCCCAGTGCCATGCCAGAACAAATCCATCTGTCTTATCCAGGTAAGTGGCTGGGACTTCTCCTGAAACTTCTCCCAGAATCCTCCACAGAGGGCTGAGCCTCCCACTGGGGTCCACCTCTTTGAGATTCCCCCCAAGCAGTCCTATGGGAGATGCCGGATTGGAAGTGCTCTGTGGCTTTCCCCACTCATCCCGTCACACGTGTGAGTGCACAGGGCTCTGAGGACAAGGGCTGAGGGAGGACTCTCAACCCTCGGATCCAGCCTGGGTGCATTTGAAGTCCAAGAAACAGGACTCAGTTTCCTCCTCCTCCAAACAATGGGTTCACTCCTGTGGGGTCACAATACTGAGCTTGGTGTGGGTAGTGGTGATTCTTGTCTGACTTGTTCTTGGTGGTAGTGGTGGTCATGGGGCTTGAACTCAGAGCTTGGGCACTGTCCCTGGGCTTTTTTTGCTCAAGGTTAGTGTTCTACCACTTGAGCCACAGCCCACTTCCAGTTTTCTGGTGGTTCATTGGAGGTAAGGGTCTTACAGACTTTCCTGACTGGGTTGGCTTTGAACCCCAATTCTTAGATCTCAATCTCCTGAGTAGCTAGGATTATGGGCCTAAGTCACTGGTGCCCGGTTCAGAACTCTTTATGCTATAGACTGGGAATGTGGCTTAGTGGTAGAGTGCTTGCCTAACATGCTGGGTTCGATTTCTCAGTACCATATACACAGAAAAAGCCGGAAGTGGTGCCATGGTTTAAGTGGTAGGGTGCTAGCCTTGAGCAAAAGAAGCTCAAAAGGGACAGTGCCCAGGTCTGAGTTCAAGCTCCAGGACTGGCAAAGAAAGAAAGGAAGGAAGGAAGGAAGAAAGAAACCTTTGTGCCACTGAAAACTGAACCCCAAAGGGCTGTAGTTTATACAAGTTATATCTGTTGATATTTTCCATATTAAAAATGAAAGCTGACAACTGGAACTTAGTGGGGGAAACACCTGTGTCGTATTGGTGACTCCCTGAGTTACATCCCCAGCACAGCACCCCAAATGCTTCCAACACCCAGACATTTATAGTATTTATTTATTAAGTCATTTCCTTCTTATGCCAGTATTGGGACTTGACCTCAGGGCTTGGGCCTGGTCCTTTAGCTTTCTTACTTAAGGTTGATGCTCTACCACTTGAGTCACAACACCACATGTGGCCTTTGGGTAGTTAATTGTAGATAAGAGTCTCATGAGAACTGGGAATGTAGCTTAGTGGTAGAGCACTTGCCTAGCATGCATGAAGCCCTGGGTTTGATTCTTCAGTACCATAGAAACAGAAAAGGCTGGAAGTGGCGCTATGGCTCATGTGGTAGAGTGCTAGCCTTGAGCACAGAAAGGCTCAAGGGCAGAGCCCACATCTCTGAGTTCAAGCCCCAGGACTGGCAAAAAAAAAAAAAAGTCTCATGGACTTTCCAGCTGGGGCTAGCTTTGAACCACGATCCTCAGATCTCAGCCTCCTGAGTAGCTGGATTACAGGTGTGAGCCTGTAATGGCCAGCTACCTTGACATTTTATTTTTTTTGGTCAGTGGTGGGGCTTGAACTCAGGACCTGGACACTGTCCCTGATATTTTTTTTTTGCTCAAGGCTAGCACTCTACCACTTTGAGTCACAGGATCACTTCCAGTTTTCTGGTGGTTAATTGGAGAACACACTCTCATGGACTTGCTTGCTTGGGCTGGCTATGAACTGTGATCCTTAGATATTAGCCTCCTGAGTAGCTAGGATGACAGGCGTGAGCTACCAATGCCCAGACTGACTTTTTCTTCTTTTGCTGCTGATCCTAGAATTTGAACTCAGGGCCTGAGCTTTTGTGCTCAAAGCTAGGCTCTACCACTTTGAGCTACAGGGTCATTTTGGCTTTTTGATGGTTCATTGGAAATAAGAGTCTCATGAACTTTCCTGCCAGGGGCTGGCTTTGAGATTCTCAGAATTCAGTCCCCTGAGTAACTTAAGATTACAGGCGGGACCCACTGACATTCAGTTTCCCTTGATGTCTTTTAAGAAGGTAGTTTCTTAGCTCAGTGTGATAGTGCCTGCCTGTAATGCTAGCTACTGAGTAAGCAGATAGTAGGAGGACTGAAACCCCATCTCAATCCATTAGAAAAACAAAACAAAACTGGGCTTGGTGTCATGAGTGCCAGTCATCCCAGCTACTCATAAAACATCAATAGAGAGATCGAGAGCCAAGTTAGTCTGGGCATAAAGTTGAGACTATTCAACAAATAATGAAAGTAGAAAAGTTGAGGGCTCAAGTAGTAGAATACCTGCTTAGCAAGCTCAGGGTCCTGGGTTCAAACCACAGTACCACCAAAACCCAAAGAAAGAAAGAAAAAAAGAGGAAGGGAAGTAGGGAGGGATATATGAGGGCTGGCATTTGTTGGCCAAGTAGCCTACCTCTTCCTGGTGCTCCTGTGAAACCCACTGACTGCCAGCTGGCTTTGTATTTGTGTCAGTCCTGGGGCTTGAACTCAGAGCCTGGGTGCTGTCCCTGAGCTTTGGTGTTCAAGGTTAGAGCTTTACCACTTGAGCCACAGCTCTAGTTCTAGTTAGTTGGTGGATAATTGGAGATAAGCATTTCATAGACTAGGGCTGGGAAGGTGGCTCAGTGGTAGAGTGCTTGCCTTGCATGCCTGAGGCCCTGGGTTCGATTCCTCAGCACCACATAAGCAAAAAGCCGGAAGTGGCGCTGTGGCTCAAGTGGTAGAGCGCTAGCCTTGAGCTGAAGAGCTGAGGGACAGCGCCCAAGCCCAGAGTTCAAGCCCCATGGCCAACCAAAAAAAAAAAAAGAGTTTCATAGACTTTGTTGCCTGGGCTACCTTTGAACTACAATCCTCAGATCTCAGCCCCCAAAGAAGCTAGCCAATTGGCTCAATTGTCTTTTTTAGATGACTCAATAATAAACTAGCAGCAATTATATTCTTTCTACAAGCTTTAGGTGAGTAATTCACTTAATCTCAAGCCCACCTGATGCTATAAGTACTGTGGTTACTTCATTTTACAAGTGTAAACTGAATCAGAAGTGGTGGTGCATGAAAGTCAGGACCAGGAATTAAATTTATTTTAAAATGATTACTATAAAGGTGATGTACAGAGGGGTTACAGTTACATACATCAGGTAAAGAGGACACTTCTTTTTCTTTTGTTTTTGTTTTTGGGTTTTGTTTTGTTTTGGTTTGGTTGTGCGGTTTGAACTCAGGACCTGTGCACTATCCCTGTGCTTTTTATTTTTTTGGCTCAAGGTTAGTGGTCTACCACTTTGAGCCACAGCTCCACTTCCGATTTTTCTGGTGGTTAATTGAAGAGTCTCATGGACTTTTCTGCCCAGGCTGGCTTTGAACTGCGATCCTCAGATCTCAATGTCTTAAGTAGCTAGGATTATAGATGTGAGTCTATCCCAAGAATAGATTTCTTTTTGGACAATGTTCCCCCTTCTCCCACACTCTCCCAGTTTTTCCCTACCATCACCATCCATAAATAGGACCTGGAAATTAAGTGAAATGAGAAACGCTTAATTTTATACTAATTTTCTTTCTTTTCCATCTTTTTGTAGTGTCTCCAGGGATTTTTGTTTTGCACCTGGATCTCACTGTGTAGCACAGACAGACCTTGAAGTCCAGATCCATTGCTTTTAGTTGCCCTGAGTGATGGGATTACAGGTGTGAACCACCACACTTGGGTTTTGCTTTCATTGTTTATCTTTTTTTTGGGGGGGGGGTTCGGTCGTGGGGCCTGAACTCTGGGCTTGGGCGCTGTCCCTCAGCTCTTCAGCTTAAGGCTAGCTCTCTACCACTTGAGCCACAGCGCCACTTCCGGCTGTTTTTCTTTTTGTTTATGTGGTGCTGAGGAATTGAACCCAGGGCCTCATGCATGCAAGGCAAGCGCTCTACCACTGAGCCACCTTCCCAGCCCCTCATTCTTTATCTTTTATGAGTTTTTTTTTTTCTTTTTTTCTTTGTCAGTTGTGGCGCTTGAACTCAGAGCCTGGTCACTGTCCATGAGCTCTTTTGCTCAAGACTAGTGCTCTACCACCTTGAACCACAGCTCCACTTCCAGTTTTCCAGTGGATCATTGGAAATAAGAGTCTCACAGACTCAGCCTCAGCTGGCTTCCAACAATGATTCCCAGATCTCAGCTTCCTGAGTAGCTAGGATGACAGGTGTGAACTAGGCACCCAGCTTCTTATGAGTTTATTTTCAAATATTTCTTTTTTTAAATTTAGTTTTAGTTTTTAAAAATTTTTTGGGGGGGTCTGGTTGTGGGGCCTGAACTCTGGGCCTGGGCGCTGTCCCTCAGCTCTTCAGCTCAAGGCTAGCATTCTGCCACTTGAGCCACAGCGCCACTTCTGGCTTTTTTTTTTTTTTTTCTGCTTATGTGGTTCTGAGGAATCGAACCCAGGGCCTCATGCATGCAAGGCAAGCGCTCTACCACTGAGCCACCTTCTCAGCCCCGTTTTTTGTTTTCTTAAACATCCTTCATCTTGAGTTTGTGGGGCATGTCATAATTAGAAATAAGTCTGTGTTTGGGCAAAACTGTCAGATGTGTTCCTGTGTCCTTCTCTGTGTGTGATATCAGAGGGTCGACAATACTACTCAGTTGGTGCTGCTCCTGAGGCTAATGACTGTTGCTAATTGGTGGAAGGAGAGTCCTGCTGAGTGTTGATTGGTTGGTGAAAGTGAGGCCTGCTGAACATTGATTGGCTAGTGGAGAGGCCTGCTGGATGTTGACTGGTTGGTAAGGGAGAGGCCTGCTGCATGTTGATTGGTCAGTGGAGAGGCCTGCTGGACGTTGATTGGTTGGCCAGGAAGAAGCCTGTTGGGTTTCTCCACTGAAATTATTGTTTCCTCTGCAGTTAATAGTTGGGAGGCCTTGCTCAACACAGTACAAATCCTGTTTTTCCACAAATGTTTACCCTCTAATTTTACCATCCATCAATGGAGCTTGCCTGTGATAATTATTAGTGTAGTGTTTGCCTAGTTGTGATTTTCTAATTTTCTCCTTCCCTCTTTTGGTCTAATTGAAATGTCAGGGTAAGGAAGCTCTCCCTCATCTGCTCTTTGTTTATCCAATCTTCTGTTACGTCACAGACTTGTGTGAGTCTCTTTAAGTACACAGGTCAAAGCTCAATACTATCATTGCTTACTCTGTGGCTCATTCTTTCCCAGACTGGGTTTCTTGGAATTTCTTCAAATTGGTTTCCTTGCTCGGTCAACAAGTCCTTCACATTTTGTAAGCCTTTTCTCACTTTATGAACTTTTAGATTAGTTCCCACTCTAACACTGGAATTACTGACTATCCCTGTATAGTAGTGTAAGCCTGTAAATCCAGCTTCTCCAGAGGCAGATGTAGGAAGATCACGGTCCAAGGCTGGCCTGGGCAAAGCGAATCCCAGACTTTAACTAAACAAACTACCACAAAACAAAAAAGGGTAAGGGTGTGGCTCAAGAAGTAGAGCAGAGCTGGGCGCCAGTGGCCCACGCCTGTAATCCAAGATATTCAGGAAACTGAGATATGAGGAGCCCAGTTCGAAGCCAGCCCAGGCAGGAAAGTCTGTGAGACTCTTATCTCCAATAAACTACCAGAAATCAGAAGGGGAGCTGTGGCTCAAGTGGTAAAATGTTTGTCTAGAGTTGAAGAGCTGAGGGACAGCACCCAGGCCCTGAATTCAAGCCCCATGACCAACCGAAGAAGAAGGAGAAGGAGAAGGAGAAGGAGAAGGAGAAGGAGAAGGAGAAGGAGAAGAAGAAGAAGAAGAAGAAGAAGAAGAAGAAGAAGAAGAAGAAGAAGAAGAAGAAGAAGAAGAAGAAGAAGAAGAGCACTTGTTTAGCAAGCATGAGATCTTGAGTTCAAATTACAATATTCCCCACTCCCCACCAATCTTTATTTTCTTTCTTATGTCTACTGTACCTGCTTTTGGGACAATAAAGCCACTGGACAGACTGAGTTTAGAAGCCCGTAGGCCTGATGGCCCTGATCCAAATTCCTGCCCAGCAACCATCACCTGAGCTGTCTCCTTTAGGGAGGGCATGTTCCATAATTTGCACCTGGCTCCACAGCTTCCTGTCAGCTGATCTGGCCCCCAGTCTCTATGTATTAACTAGCTGGATATCTGTGTTAGTGTGATAAAGTGATCCTGAGATCCTGTGGTTGGCACGGGTCACATTCAGTGAGGCAGGCTGTGAATAATGATGTCCACTGGTACAATCAGACTGACTGACTGTTCAAGCGTCTCACTACAGTCGTCTCCCATCATCTGCCAAGTACTGTTCCTCTGGAGAAATTCCCCAACCTCAAGGTCCTCAAGTTCTCCTGGCCTCCAATCTAAGGATTGTAGTACACACACACACACACACACACACACACACACACACACACACACACACACACACAGAAAAGAAAGCTGATTATGTGTTTTGTTTTTTGTTTTTGTTTATTGTCAGTTGTGGGTCTTGAACTCTGAATCTGAGCGCTATCCTTGAGTAATTCAGCTTAAGAATAGTGCTCTACCATTTTGAGACACTTCTGGTTTTCTGGTGATTAATTGGAGATAAGAGTATCGTGGACTTTTCTGCCCAGGCTGGCTTTGAACTCTGATCCTCAGATCTCAGCCTCCTGAATAGCTAGGATTATAGGCATGAGCCACCAGCACCTGGCTGATTATGTATTTCTCATTCATGGAAGCTTCTTAACAACCCGATAAGGGGGAAGAACATTGAGACTCCGTTTTACAGATGGGGAAACTGAGGCTCAGAGAGGCAAAGTGATTCACCCAAGCAAAGCACAGCTTAGAATGGTGGTACTGGGGTTGATCTTGGACCCCTAACTTTCCAGGTCATCCCTCCTTACCCCCAACCCCCTCTCTTGTGCCTTGTCCTCCAGGTGTGCCTGGCTCCATGACGGTTACCTGGACCACGTGGGTGCCCACGCGCTCCGAGGTGCAGTTTGGCATGCAGCTGTCAGGGCCGCTGCCACTGCGGGCCCAAGGCACTGCCAGGGCCTTTGTGGATGGCGGCATCCTGCGGCGGAAGCTGTACATGCACCGCGTCACACTGCGGAAGCTACTGCCTGGGGTCCAGTACGGTGAGGGGCCGGAGGCAGGGGGAGGGGCATTGTGTTCAGGCCAGGTTTCTCACTCACCTGTGCATCTGTCCATCCATCCACATATCCATCTCTCTTCCCTCTCTTCCCACCTGTCTATGTGTCTGCCTGTATATATATATAATATATATATATATGTATACATATATATATGTGTCTGTCCATTTATCCACTGTCCATCTGCCCATCTGTCCACCTGTCCATCTGTGCATCTATCCATCTCTCTGCCTACCTGTCCATCTGTCTTCCCATCTGTCTGTCTGTCCATCTGTCTGTCTTCCCATCTGTCCACCTGTCCTCCATCTATCTTCCCATCTGTCTGTCCATCTTTCCATCTGTTCATCTAAGTGGTGCTGTGGCTCAAGTAGTAGAGCGCTAGTCTTGAGCACAAAGAGGCTCAGAGACAGTGCCCAAGCCCTGAGTTCAAGCCCTACAACCTACAAAACAAAACAACAACAACAACAAAAAAAAACTCACACACAAAGATAAAGCTGGGCACTGATGGCTCAGGCCTGTAATTCTAGCTACTCAGGAGCCTGAGATCTGAGGATCACAGTTCCAAGTTAGCCCAGGAAGGAAAGTTCCTGTGAGACTCCAATAAAAAACCACTCAGAAAAAGCCAGAAGTGGTGCTGTGTCTCAAGTGGTAGAGTGCTAGCCTTGAGCACAAAGAGGCTCAGGGACAGAACCCTGGTCCTGAGTTCAAGCCCCAGGACCAGAAAAAAAAACAAACAAAAACCATCTGTCCACCTGTCCATCTATCTTTCCATCTGTCCATCTTTTCACCTGCCCATCTGTCCAAATATCCATCTAGCTTCTTGTCTATCTGTCCACCTGTCCATCTGTCTATCTTCCCGTTTATCTGTCCATCTGCCTACCTGTCCCCCTGTCTCCTGTCCCTCTGCCTACCTCCCTTTGAGACCCAGGGCCGGGCAGCTCCGGTCTCCTCTTCCTCAGGTGGGTGGGGACAAGGAGCTATCCTAGGGCTCTAGATAACCACCACCTTTCCCTTTACCTCAGTTTACCGCTGCGGCAGTGCCCAGGGTTGGAGCCGTCGGTTTCGCTTCAGGGCCTTGAAGAATGGAGTTCATTGGAGCCCACGCCTGGCTGTGTTTGGGGACCTGGGTGCTGACAACCCGAAGGCCCTGCCCCGGCTGCGCAGAGACACCCAGCAGGGCATGTTTGATGCCATCCTGCACGTGGGTGAGACTGCGCACGGGCAGGGGTGCTGAGAGGCGGGGAGGGGCTCAGCACCAGGATGGTGCCCAGGAGGGCTTGGGGAGTACCTTAGGAACAAGGAATAACCCAGGTTAAAATCCCAACTCCAACCCCACCACGGTGAGAATGGCTCTCCTCCTCCTTACCATCACAGATGAGCCTACTTCAGAATTCATAGGTCTCTGGGGATGCTAATATGAGCTGAGCTTGGTGGCACATGCCTGCAATCCCAGCACTCAGGAGGCAGAGACAGGAGGATTGCGAGTTAGAGGCCAGTGTATACTTCATATAAAGAACTCTCAAATATAGAGAAAAATAAAAGCTAGGCCTGGTGGCTAATGTCTATAATAGCTTCTTGGAAGGTAGAGATCAGAAGATCAAGGTTCAAGGCCACTCTGGGCCTAAAAGCTCACGAGACTTCATCTCAATCAGTGGCTGAGGGCAGTGGGGCAGGCCTGTCAGACCAAAGGCGAGCTTGCTTCACTTTCTCCTTGTCCCTCTTCCCCGCAGGGGACTTTGCCTATGACATGGACCAGGACAATGCCCGCGTTGGGGACAGATTCATGCGACTCATTGAACCGGTGGCCGCCAGCCTGCCGTACATGACCTGTCCTGGAAATCACGAACAACGCTAGTGAGGACCTGGGGCTGCAGGGGAGTGCAGGGGCCAGATAGGTAACTCTGGCATGTCCTTGATAGCATCTCCCCTTAGTCTCTCATGCTGCAGGGTCTCATTTGTGACATCAAGAAGAGGGAATGAGGGGCTGGGAAGGTGGCTCAGTGGTAGAGCACTTGCCTTGCATGCTCGAGGCCCTGGGTTCGATTCCCTCAGCACCACATAAGAAAAAAGCCGGAAGTGGCGCTGTGGCTCAAGTGGTAGGGTGCTAGCCTTGTGCTGAAGAGCTGAGGGACAGCGCCCAGGCCCAGAGTTTAGGCCCCATGACCAGACCCCCCCCCCAAAAAAAAAAAAAGAAGAAGAGGGAATGATGCTGGGTGCTGATGGCTCATGCCTGTAGCTCATGCCTGTAATCCTACCTACTCATGAGGCCGAGCTCTAGGATCAGGGTTCAAAGCCAGCCCAGGCAGGAAAGTCTATGAGACTCTTCAATTAATCACCAGAAAACTGGAAGTGGCAATGTGGCTCAAGTGGTAGAGCACTAGCCTGGAGCTGAAGAGCTCAGGGACAGCGCCCAGGCCCAGAGTTCAAGCCCCACGACTGACAATAATAATAATAATAATAGTAATAATAATAATAATGAGGGAAGGAGGGAAGGAGGGAAAACGCTGGTACCTAGAATAGTGTGGCTATAGGAAGATGGGATTCTACATCTGGAAAATTACCCCTTCACCCTTTTACTGCCTTTTTCCCCCTCCAGCAATTTCTCTAACTACAAGGCTCGCTTTAATATGCCAGGGGACAATGAAGGCTTGTGGTACAGGTAACTTGGGAATGCTGGGGGATTGAGCTTGCTCCCCAGAGGTAACCCCGTTTCTAACCCTACCCTGTGTCCCGTGTAGTTGGGATATAGGTCCGGCCCATATCATTTCCTTCTCCACCGAGGTCTATTTTTTTCTCAATTACGGCCGACACCTGGTTCAGAAGCAATACCGCTGGTTGGAGAGCGACCTCCAGGTAGGCTGAGTGGGGGTCCCCTTGGGCCCATCAGGGCTATACCCCGACCCCCGCTGCTCTGGCACCTCCTTATCAGTGGTGCTTCCTTCTAGAAAGCCAACAAGAACCGAGCGGCTCGGCCTTGGATCATCACCATGGGCCACCGGCCCATGTACTGCTCCAATGCGGACCTTGATGACTGCACACGGCACGAGAGCACGGTGAGGGGGAGGGAGACACAGCACAGGGGTGCAGGGGGAGGGCGCTAAAGAAAGAGGGGGTTACCGGGCACCTGGGGCTCACACCTGTCATCCTAGCTATTCAGGAGTCTGGGATCTAGAGAATCGCAGTTCACAGCCAGCCTGAGCAGGAAAGTCCATGAGACCCTTATCTCCAATGAACCACCAGAAAACCGAAAGTGGCGCTGTGGCTCAAGTGGTAGAGCGCTCGCCTTGAGCTGAAGAGCTGGGGGACAGTGCCCAGGCCCAGAGTTCAAGCTCCAGAAAAAAGAAAGGAATTAGGGGTGATCCCTCACCCCCTTGCTTGTCTTACTAGGTCCGCAAAGGTCTCCGGGGCAAACAATATGGACTGGAGGATCTGTTCTACAAATATGGTGAGTTCAGTTTTGGGGGCCTACCCAAGACCCTGTCCTGTCTTCCCATTGGCTGTCCCCCACCATGACCCAACCAGGAGCCCTGACACCCCATTTGCTCTGTGTCAGGAGTGGATCTTGAGCTGTGGGCGCATGAACACTCTTATGAGCGTCTATGGCCTATTTACAACTACAAGGTGAGGCCGGTTGAGTGGGGGAGGGGGCTGAGGGGTCTAGCCACGCCCCATGGGTGGTCACATGTCAAGCTCTCCCCCTCTTCTAGGTATTTAATGGCAGCAAGGAGGCGCCCTATACCAACCCTCGGGGGCCTGTCCACATCATCACTGGGTCTGCGGTGAGTTGGCGTAGGCAGGCAGCCTGGGTGGGTGGGGTCTCACTGGGTGCTGGGCACTGGGGCTAAGGCTTGGTACCCCCTTGTGCCCCCAGAAGACAGATCCAGAAAGAGAATTCTCTCCCAGGAAGCTGGAAGCCACTGTACAAATAAATGGCAGGATCTGGAGCTTTCCCCCACCTGGAAATTTTAATACTTCCCTGTGCTTTTTCCTTCTTTTTGTTGCTGTCAGTTGCTGGGCTTCAACTCACGTCCTGAGTGCTGTCCTTGAGCTTTTTAGCTCAAGACTAGCACCCTGCTACTTTGAGCCACAGCTCCACTTCCAGTTCTCTGGTGGTTCATTGAAGATAAGACTCTCATGGGATTTCCTGCCCAGGCTGACTTTGAACCGTGATCCTCAGATCTCAGCCTCCTGAGTAGCTAGGATGACAAGTTGAGCCATCTGTGCCTAGAAACTTTTGGTCTTTCTTGTGGATATCAGTGTTCCTCACTTTCCCAGCCCCAGGTCTGATTGGTTTTCCTCCACAGGGCTGTGAGGAGCGTCTTACCCCCTTCTCCATCTTCCCGAGGCCCTGGAGCGCAGTGCGGGTGAAGGAGTATGGGTACACGCGCATGTCCATTCTCAACGGCACCCATTTGCATATCCAGCAAGTGTCTGACGACCAGGTGAGTTACTAGTGGGTCTGGGGCACCTGACCAATCAGCTCAGCTGGGTTAAACCTTGGACTTAGCTGGGCACTGGTGGCTGAAGCCTGTAATCCCTACTACTCAGAAAGATGAGATCTGAGGATTGTGGTTCCAATTGGGCAAGATAGTCGGCGAGGCTCTGTTCTCCAATGAACCAGAAAAAAAGCTGGAAGTGGGCCAGGTGCCAGTGGCTCATGCCTGTAATCCTAGCTCTCAGGAGGCTGAGATCTGAGGGTCATGGTTCAAAGTCAACTCAGGCAAGAAAGTATTCCGTGAGACTCTCGTCTCCAATTAACCACCAGAAAACTGGAAGTGGAGCTGAGGCTCAAGTGTTAGAGCACTAACCTTGAGCAAAATAGCTCAGGGACAGTGCCCAGGCCCAGAGTTCAAGCCCCAGAACTGACACACACACACACACATACACACACAGAGAGCTGGAAGTGGGGCTGGGAAGGTGGCTCAGTGGTAGAGTGCTTGCCTTGCATGCATGAAACCCTGGGTTCGATTCCTCAGCACCACATATGCAGAAAAGGCAGGGAGTGGTGTTGTGGCTCAAGTGGTAGAGCACTAACCTTGAGCTGAAGAGCTGAGGGACAGCACCTAGGCCCAGAGTTCAGGCCCCACGACCAACCAAAAAAAAAGTTGGAAGTGGAGCTGTGATGCAAATGGCAGAGCACCAGCTGTGAGTGAATAATCTTTCTTTTGGGGGGGAAGGGGGAGTCCAGTCATGGGGTCTGAACTCTGGGCCTGGGCGCTGTCCCTCAGCTCTTCAGCTCAAGGCTAGTGTTCTACCACTTGAGCCACAGTGCCACTTCCGGCTTTTTTCTTTTTGCTTATGTGGTGCTGAGGAATCGAACCCAGGGCCTCATGCATGCAAGGCAAGTGCTCTACCACTGAGCCACCTTCCCAGCCCTTGAGTGGATAATCTTAAGGATAGCACCCAGACCCTGAGTTCAAGCCCAGAACACACACACACACACACACACACACACACACGAAGCAAAACTGTGTTTTGGACTTGCTGGGCATGATAGTGAACACCTATAATCTCAGCTATAGAGAAGGCAGAGACAGAAAATCTGTAGCAAGGGGCTGGGAAGGTGGCTCAGTGGTAGAGCGTTTGCCTTGCATGCATGAGGCCCTGGGTTCCATTCCTCAGCACCACATAAGCAAAAAGAAAAAAGCCGGAAGTGGCACTGTGGCTCAAGTGGTAGAGCGCTAGCCTTGAGCTGAAGAGCTGAGGGACAGCGCCCAGGCCCAGAGTTCAGGTCCCACAACCAGACCCAAAAACAAACAAAAAGAAAAAAAAAATCTGTAGCAAAAGAGCAAGATCCAGCCAGGCATTGCAACTCATACCTGTCATCCTAGCTACACAGGAGGTTGAGATCTGAGAATTGTAGTTCAAAACCACAGTCTGTAATACTTTATTTATTTACTGGTCCTGGTGCTTAACCTGACGGCCTGGGCACTGCCCCTAAGCCTCTTTGTGCTCAAGGCTAGCACTCTACCACTTGAGCCACAGCCCCACTTCTGGCTTTTTCTGAGTAGTTTATTGGAGGTAAGAATCTTATGTATGGACTTTGCTACTTGGGCTGGCTTTGAACCATGATCCTCAGATCTCAGCCTCCTGAGTAGCTAGGATTACAGGCGTGAGCCACCAGTGTCCGACTTATCCAGGAGACTTTTATCTCCAGTGAACTGCCAGAAAACTGGAAGTGGAGCTATGGCTCAAAGTGGTAGAGCATTAGCCTTGAGCAGACAAACCTCAGGGACAGCACCCAGGCGCAGAGTTCAAACCCCATGACCAACCAAAAAAGAAAAAGAAAATAAAAGAAAAAGAAGCAGCAGTCATAGAATATGAACCCCTTCACTGGCCCCAGCATCAGGGTTTTTCAGCTTTCTTTCTCTTTTCTCCTGTGTTATTTTGTGTCTTGCAGGACGGGAAGATAGTGGATGATTTCTGGCTAGTGCGCCCCCTCCAGGGCCGGCGGATGTACCTCTAAAACATGAAGGCCGGCTGGGCTCATCCGAAACTCTAGGCCTGGGCCCCATGGGCCAGGTGGGGAGCCAGGCACCCCCTTCCTTGTCCTCCAGAGGCCTATGGATGCGGGGCTTGAGGGAGCTGGAGACGTGGGAACCCTGACTGGTTGTAGAGGGAGGGCAGGAAGGTGGGCACGAGACCCCAGGGAACCCCAGGCTCCTGCATGGCACCAGTCAGGACCCGGTGCCAGGGCCTCAAGAATAAAGAGGCTTCCAGCTGCGGCCTGGTGAACTTACCCTTCTGATGGTCCTGACTGGCCCTGGCTCAGTGCCTGCCTGGCCTGAAGACCCCCAGCCCCAACCTCAGCACAGGCATGGCTGCAATGACCACCACTGGCCAGCAGAGAGCGCTGGCTGCTCTCTGGGCCCATCTGATCCAATCCAGATTGTCCCTTTGTGCCTCAGTTTCCCAGATGGCTCTGTCCTCTCCAGGAAGAGGGGCCTGTAAAACAATGCCACCCTCCCCAGATGGCACAAGCTGAGAGCCAAGAGCTCATGGGACATGCACATTTACCACGTTCCAGACCCTTGTTCTTGACATAATAACCAAGAATATGAAGGAAATACAGTAAGGAAATCTCAAGGGGGAGAAAAGCTCAGAAGAGGACAAGAAAGGGGACAACTCTCCTACAATTTCCTCCCTCCCTCCTTCCCACCCTCGTCTCAGAGAGGGTCTCTGTGCCCAGAGTCATTTTTTGTGCGAGTCCTGACTTTTGAACTCAAGGCCTGGGCTCTATCCTTGAGCTTTTGTTTTGTTTTGCTCAAGGCCAGCGCTGTACCACTTGAACCATAGCTCCACTTCTGGCCTTTTAGTGCTTTATTGGAGCTAAGAGTCTCATGGACTTTCCTGCTGGGGCTGGCTTGGAACTGTGATCCTCAGATCTCAGCTTCCTGAGTAGCGGAGATTACAGGCGTGAGCAGCAGCATGTGGCTGTCAGAGACATTCTGCTCAACACTAACCAGGCTGGCTTGGGATGCTTGAGCGGCCCCTCCTCCCAGCACACCCAGTGACGGATCCTTGCCCCACTCCATGGTCAAGGTCAGGAGGGCGGGGCCCTCCTGCCTGCCACATGTCCTGCTGGCCACGCAGTGTGGGAGCTAGTGATGACTCAGCCCACGTCGTGCCCTCTGGGAGCTTGCAGGCAGGCAGGGAAACCTGTCACCCAGGCCAGGTGACAAACAATGCCATGAAGGGTGGTTCCAGATTGTGAGGTCACAAGCCAGAGAAGAACTGCAAGCCTTGATGGTCAGAGACTAAGTGGGTGTACCACAAGGGTGGACATATTCTAGCCCCAGCTGAGGGGAGGTGGTGGCCATGCTGGTCAGTATCGATGCAAATGGGTTCTAGTCCCCACTCTGCCATTTCTGGTGTGATTGTGGAGAAGTCACCAGCCCTATGTGACCCTCAGTCTCTTCTTCTGTAACACAGGGACTGTCATGTTTTGTCTGAGGATTAAATGAGATATAAAGGCCTTAGTACTGTCTCTGACTCTTCTTTCTCTCGTGCCCCGTATCCAGTTAGCTTTATTTATTTAGTGCTAGTATTGGGGCTTGAACGTAAAGCCTGGATGTTTTGTTTTGTTTTGCTCAAAGTTGGCACTCCATCACGAGCCACAGCACTCCACTTCTGCCTTTTATTATGGTTCGTTGGAGAATAAGAGTCTCACAGACTTTCTTTGTTTCTTTCTTTCCTTTCTATTTTTTTTTTTTTTGTTGTTGTTGTTGTTGTTGGTTGTGGGGCTTGAACTCTGGGCTTGGGCGCTATCCCTCAGCTCTTCAGCTCAAGGTGAGTGCTCTACCACTTGAGCCACAACGCCACTTCCATTTTTTCTGGTGGCTTATTGGAGATAAGAGTCTCACAGACATTCCTGCCTGGACTGGCTTTGAACTGTGATCCTCAGATCTCAGCCTCCTGACTAGCTAGGATTACAGGTTTGAGCCACTGGCGCCCAGCTGCACAGACTTTCTTACCTGCACTGGCTTTTTGAACCTCGATCCTCAGATTTCAGCCTCCTGAGTAGCTAGGATTACAAGTGTGAACCACCGGCAACCAGTTCATTGACATTTATTTATTTATTTAGGGATCTTGGCCATCGGGTTTTGCTATGTGGTCCAGGCTGAGCTGGAACTTAACAATTCTCCTGCCTCTGTCTCTGAGTGCTGGGGTTATAAGCAGGTACCATCTCTCCCAGCTTGAGTTGAACCTTTGATATGCATCTGGAATCTCTGTTCACATGGACACTTACATTGGGTCATACTGCTCAGGAGGCTGTGACAGTGAAAGGTTAAAGTTTGAGGCAGTGACCACCACTTGTTGCTTGTTTCTGTCTAGCAAAGCAACACGTGGTGGTAATCAAAACACCTGGTTGATTGTGTGCCTATATAAGACCTGCAAATCCTTAGCTCGGGGCTTTCCTCCTAGGCTCCGCTGTGTCGGAGTGCAGGACGAGGCCTGAGCTGTAGCCCGTTTAAATAAAACACCTATAGAGTCTGACTCTCGGTGGTCTTCTTGAGGGGGTTCCTGCAACCTTGGCATAACAACAGGAAGATCTCGAGTTGAGATCTCCCAACTGATCCGTCCTGAGCTACATAGTCAGCCCCTGTCTAATTTATTTATCCATTATCTCCAGAATAGAAACTTCACAGCTGGAGAGGTAGAGATAGGAGGTTTGGCAGTTCAAGGCCAACCCGAACAAAAGTTAGTGGGAGAGACCCTATGTCAAAAATAAGCCAGCACCGTGGTATATACCTGTCATTTCAGGGAGGCAGAAGTAGGAGGAATCAGTCTACTAGATCAGAGACCCTATCTGAAAAGTACCTAAAGCATAAGGGGTCAGGTGCTGGTAGTTCCTGCCTGTAATCCTAGCTATTCAGGAGGCTGAGATATGAGGATCACAGTGTGAAGCCAGTGTGAGCAGGAAAGTCTGTGAGACTCCAATCAACCAGCAAAAAGTTGGAAATGAGGGCACGGTTCAAGTGGTTGGGCACCATCCTTCAGGGAAAAAGGCTGAGTGAGAGCCGGGCACTGGTGTCTCACGCCTGTAATCCTAGCTATTCAGGAGCCTGAGATCTGAGGATCGCAGTTCAAAGCCAGCCTGGGTAGGAACATCCATGAGACTCTTATTTCCAATTAAAAACTAGAAAACCAGAGGTGGCGCTGTGGCTCAAGTGGTAGAGCAAGCACTAGCTTTGAGCTGAAGAGCTCAGGAACAGCACCCAGGCCCAGAGTTCAAGCCCCACGACCAACAAAAAATGTGTGTAGCCCTGGACTGACATTAAAAAAAAAAAGAAAAAAAAAAGGGAAACGTGAGGAAAAAAGAATGTGAGTTCCACAGGCCACAGGATCTTGCAGATGCTGTTTCCCATGCAGATCCAGGCTCTGGTACACAGTATCTGCTCAGGAACCACAGGCTGGCTGAGGGAAGAAATGAGACTGGCAGGTGCAATGACAAGCCCAGGGCACCATGGGAGATCATGTCCAGTAGAGCAAGCACCAATGGTGTGGGTGAGTCAGGTGGTACCCAGCCCTAGCAAGCTCCTCCCCTAGCCACTGGGAAGTTGGCATGTGGGCTGATTTGCCCCACCTGTCCTCCTGACTCGGCTAGAAGTTGGAGTTGACAGCGCCTGACACCCTGAAGCCTCTGGGCTGGGTCCTGGGGCTTGAACTCAGGGCCTGGGTGCTGTCTCTGAGCTTTTGTGCTCAAGGCTAGTTCAAGGCTAAGTGCTTTAGCACTTGGAGCCATAAGGCCACTTCTGGTTTTCTGATGCGTCATTGGAGATAAGAGTCTCACAGACTTGTCCTGCCCAAGCTGACTTCCAACCATGACCCTCAGATCTCAGTCTCTTGAGTAGTTAGCATGACAGGCGTGGCACCTGGCAAGATGAAAGTTTTATCATAGGATACAAAAGATTTTGTGACTTGGTTTTCCTATCCCCGTCAAAATTAACATGGATATAAAATCACCATTTTTTGTCAGTCGTGGGCTTGAGCTCTGGGCTTGGGCACTGTCCCTCAGCTCTTCAGCTCAAGGCTAGTGCTCTACCACTTGAGCCACAGTGCCACTTCCGGTTTTCTAGTAGCTTATTGGAGATCAGAGTCTCACAGACTTTCCTGCCTGGGCTGGCTTTGAACCATGATCCTCAGGTTTCAGCCTCCTGAGTAGCTAGGAGGTGTGAGCCACCAGTACCTGGAATCATTTTGTTGTTGTTGCTGTTGTTGGTTGTGGGGCCTGAACTCAGGGTCTGGGCGCTGTCCCTCGGCTCTTTAGCTCAGGGCTAGCACTCTACCACCTGAACCACAGCACTACTTCCGGCTTTTTTCTGCTTATGTGGTGCTAAGGAATCAAACCCAGAGCCTCATGCATGCAAGGCAAGCGCAGTACTGCTGAGCCACCTTCCTCTCCCTATCATTTCTTTTTAACTTAAAAAAAAATCAACTTTAAAGCCAAGTACTATGGGCTCACGCCTGCAATCCTAGGTACACAGGAGGCTGAGATCCAGAAGATTGCAGTTCAAGGCCAGCCCAGACAGAAATATCCTTGAGACTCCATCTCCAAAAACAGCCAGGGTGGGACATGTGGTTCAAGTGGTAGAGCACCAGCTAATTCAAATGCAAAGTCCAGAGTTCAAACCCTATTACAGGAAGAAGAAGATCAGTGTTTAATGCTGTTGTGGAGCCTGTTGAGGTCCTGTAATGTGCACTTCTGGACACAGGGAGGCAGCAGAGGGCTACTAGTGGGAGCAATGCCACATATAGCTGAGTTTGCACCAAGCCTGTGGGGACAAGCAGCAGCCTCGGTTTCCCCCAGGGTAAAACAGGATTGGATAATCACAGCCCCTGATGTTAAAATCAAACAGCTCAGCCAGGAGCTGTTTGATTTTAATAGTTCATGCCTGTTTTAATAGTTCATACCTAGCTATTCAGGAGACTGAGATCTGAGGCAGTTCACAGCCTGGGCAGGAA